TATTATAGCCTGGTGGTGACAGTCACAAAAAAGCATAGCATATAATTTAGGGGGTTATGTGTGTTGTTTAGGCAATAGGTCTAAGCCAGTGAATAAATTTACTGTGTTAGATTGTTTTAGGGAAGCTTACATAAGTCATTTATTCATTTTCTAAAACAAGGGTATCTTTGCTAGCTAGTTGCATTAACCATCCATAGATTTTCTTAGGATAACTTTTGTAACTACCTTGGTGACTGAACAAATAAAATGTAAGTTAGGCCTAGGTTAGATGCTCACCTGAGGAGGTGACCCAATGAAGTTGGTAGGAGTTGTTATCTTATGGCAAAAGTAGACTTATGGTCTGTACAGTACAGTATGAGTTTTTATGTTTCCAGAAAGATGATTCAAAAAAACCTTCTACCCCTACCGGTACATCAGAAGAAATTATTAGTTCAAGTGGTTCAGTAGAGGCAAGTTATAGCAGCAAAACCAACCTGGAAAGTTTTGCCAAAAACCAAACGGTTTGTTAACTTTAAACCCTGTCATTATCTATTACTCTTTTCTGTATATTAAATTGTTTTAACATTTTATAAAAGTTATTAAGTTATTAGTGGGGAAAGGTCCAAACCCGTGAACGTTGAGGATATTGACGTAGGTATTCCTTATGGTATGCATGTTTCCTCATCCTGGATAAGCTACAAATAATCCTTGTATAGATTATATGCAAAATTTTCCGGATGGAATCAAGAATGTCCCGGGCACTAACGGCGGTGGATGTTAGATTCAGACCCTGAAGTCATCCTCAAAAACTAACATTGGCCTATCTTATATTCAAAACACTTTCCTGCAAAAAAATTTATGCTTTCGCTTTCAAGCTATTTCAGTTTGTTGGTGAGCTAATTATAGAGTCTCAGGGCCATGATCGGAAAAGTATTTTTTTCACTTACCAAGCCTGTGGAATAAAATAGGCTACTGATGAGACAACAAAATATATTGACATAGAGAATGTTTTGTAAATGAGTTAATCTTTTTCCAGGCAGATAATCCAATCCTAGAGGCAAATCTCAGTACGCCTGGAAGCAGTAAAACCCACGAAGAACAAAGCTCCTCCAAAATATTTAAGGTATGCAAACTTTAACACCTATCTGTATCCTTTAAAAAGTTTTTAATTTTTAATATGACTACAAGTCCCCTAGTTTTTCAATTGATAATGTTGGAACGCTGATGTTATTTAATACAGTTAATAACAATAGGCCATAATAAAGGGTTTAAGTCAATATTCTGTTTGAATTGATAGTTATATTTTATTTTGCATTCAGATAGTACATTTATATCAAGACATAGATTTTCATACATTAAATGTTGTTTCACTATTTTCACATTAACCAATAAATGATCATCAGGTTTTATTAACTCTCCTGCTCTGAAAACACAACAACTACTACTTGAAAATATAGTTGCAACAAAATTTGCAGTCCTAGAAAAATATATTGTAAACGAGTTGCTATTTTTCCAGGCACATGAACAAATTTCAGAAGAAATTGTCAGTTGGCCTGGAAGCAGTCAAACCCAAGAAGGACCGAGCTCTGCCAAAAAACTAGAGGTTCGTAACCTTTAAAACTTAAAACTGTACTCTCACTACCTTGTATCCTATAATGTAATAAAATCAAAATCACTACTGTCCATTACTGTTTGACACATGGCCCATTTATGCACAAAAGGTTTATACAAAAGGTGTGTTGCTATACTATTTTATAGGAACAACTAATTTAAGCAGTTTTGTAATATAAATCCTTGGTTTTCGTCACTATTTCTACGAGTTAATATGAGTTATCAAGCTCTAATAAACCATCTTAAATAAGTTGAAGCCTACAATTTTCCTCAGTTAAGTAAATGGCATATTTTTATTATGTTTCAGTTGGTGAAGGGGACTGGACCGTCGACTACAAGTTTGAGGAAAAAGAAAACCAACCGTGCTCCCCTTAAGTTTGTGAGCTCATGGCTAAGTATCCCAGACTTTAAGGGATGGCTTGTCAAATCTACCAAAAAAAGGTGAAAATGAATTGGGTTTTTGTAAGGTGTGCCAAACTAACATTTTGGCACATAAAGTAGATTTAGTAAGGCACTCAAAATCTGAAAAGCACAGGAGTGCACTTGCCCAGGTATCGAACACACAATCACTGGACAAGCATCTCAAAACCCCATTGGCCAAACAAATAAAAAGGGCAGAAATTAAATTAGCTGCCCTGATTGCTAGCAATAATCTGCCATTCAGTTTAATGGACTCACTTCAACCATTGGTGGCTGATATATGCCCTGATTCTCAAATAGCCCAATCCCTTTCTTGCAAAAGAACGAAAACAACGGCTGTTGTTAAGCAATCGCTTGGGGAAAACTACAGGAGAAGACTTAACTCAACACTTGCTGATCCAGAAACATTCTTTTCCGTGATAATGGACGAAACAACTGACCGAGGCAGCATCAAACAGTGTGCTTTTACCGTCATATTCTTGAATCAAAACACAAAAAAACTCGAATGCCACTTTTTTGATATGGTGGAGACTCCGTCAGGAACAGCGGCAGATCTAACCAAGACCTTAAAAGAGACTTTTTCTAAACACGGAGTGGGATTGGAAAATACGGTGGGGTTTTCCAGTGACACCACAAATGTCATGTTTGGCGAAAACCATTCAGTTGTTAAACTCCTGAAGAACGATTTTCCAGATGTAGTGTTCGTTAAATGCTCCTGTCACATGATGCACCTTGTGGCATCAAAAGCCTGTTTGAAGCTCCCCAGATATCTGGAGGGTTTAGTTAGAAATGTAGGGGCACACTTCAGCCGAAGTTTTGGAAGACAGGACAGATTCAGAGAATTTCAAGAGTTTTTTCAAGTCGAAATTTTAAAGATCCTAACGCCATCGACAACACGATGGCTTTCATTGAAAGAATGCGTTAATAGAATCATTTGTCAGTACACAGCCCTCCAGCACTACTTCCTCCAACTTGCTTTTGAAGACCCATCTAAAACCTTGGATGACATAGTCTCAACTCTTGACAACTCCTTCACCATCATTTACTTGGAGTTTATGTCCTATACATTGGGCCTACTTACAGACTTTGACGTAATGTTTCAGAGCAAACACCCTCTGCTGCATAAACTGAAAAAATTCTCAGGATTTAAGTATGAACTACTTGAAGACAGATGTGGTCAGAGACAATGACATTTATAAGGTCAGCCACAATGATACAACTAATTTCTTACCATTGAATGAAACGTACTTGGGCCTGACTGCCACTGAAAGCTTATCATAACTCAAAGAGGACCCTAACCTATCTAAAGAAAACGTGGATAATTTTCTAACGACATGTAGGAATTTTTATATTGAAGTGGTGTCACAAATCAAAACAAGATTTTCATTTGAGGATGAAATCTTTCAACTGATCGAGGTTGTGGATCCTATCAAGGCTCAATCTTTTCAGGTAAAAACTCTACAACCAGGGCTGAAAAGGTTTCCCGTCCTCAGAACAGTAACTGATCCCAAAAAGGTTGAACAGGAATGGCGGGAACATGCTCTCCTCAACTTCCAGGACCTGAAATTATATTCAACTGTTCCAGCTGATGAGTACTGGAAGGAGGTCAATGAGCTGAAAAATGCTGCAGGACTACCACTCTTCAAAAATCTGTGCAAAGTTATGGAGCTTTTGTTAGTTTTGCCTTTTTCAAATGCAAGTGTGGAAAGGCTCTTTAGCACATTGAATAATGCAAAAACATCCCATCGGAATAAACTGAAGACAAACACAATAGTCTCGTTGATTTTAACTCAAGAGGGAGTCAAGGAAGACGGAGGGTTGGCCACGTTTGAACCTTCAAGTGACATGCTCTCCAAAAAGATTTGGAAGTGACACACCTTGAGGATATCTTCCTAAAAGAGTTGTTAGCTTTGCATAACTCTAACAGATATCTGACTTGTCACCCAAGTTCCCCTTTATTTAGGCTATGTATGATAAAAAACCAAACACATCCATGCCAGTGATTAAATATTTACGACAAAAAAAGTCATGACAAGGCTGAGATATTTAAAGTATTTATTTTTGTATTTAAGGTTGTGTCAAACTCATGGTCATTACATGACATTAAATATTGTTTTGCTTATTTAAATATTTCTTCTTTAGGTCATGATGATCTCACTTTAAGATCTGTCAAATTTTATTGTTCCACTGAAACGTGAGTTCCTTAATTAGTCTATATTCTTCTTTACACTTTTAAAGAGCATGTAAAATATAGGTTTTGATTTTTAATATTACTATTGTTACATTTATATTTATATGGTATGTTGTTCAAATACCTTCGCATTTTGGACATGTTACCTTCATAACTGACCAAAGTATACATGTTGTAGGCCTACATAATGGCACCTGACAGGAGAAATGGTTTGTGTTTTTTACTTCTTATCTTGGTAATGTACATAAAAACCCTCCAGAGCCTTTTATTTATATACTTCAAGTTATTTACATCACAACAAGACTGAGATATGTAAAATAATGCAATATTTTAGTATAGGTAGATGCCTCTATATTGGATGGCTTATACATTTTTCAAGTTTGCATCAAACTCATGGTTATTTATTAGATGAGATTTTACTTGAATATTTTGTTATCCTTTTATGTGTTTTAGATATTGTTAGGTAATGTACATAGGACATAGTGATCTCACTTTCAATTAGTCAATGTTCATTAGTTTCTTATGTTCATACTTTCTCTTAATTTAAATAGTATTTCTAATATATGTTTTGATTTTTTACATACTTATATTTATGTCTATGATGAAATGTATGTTAAAGTATCTTCACATTGGGCATGTTACCCTAATAACTCATCAAAGTTATACCAGTTGTACACACACAATGACATGTAATATCAGTGTTTTACGTAAAAAATACTCCAATGCATTTTATTACAAATATTATTTATATCATGGCAAGACAGAGATAAAATTCCGGTCCAGCCGTAGAAGACTACTGATGTCTGCAGTCCAGTCCGTGCTTCTCTACGGCTCTGAGGTGTGGGCAGACGCGCTTAACAAGGAGGCGTATAGGTTGAGGCTCGCACGAGTGCAGCGCACTTTTCAGATGTGGCAAGAAAGCTGGGAAAGGGAGACTCGAGGACGTTGGACTGCCAGACTCATCAGGCAGGTCCAACCGTGGGTAGAACGGCGGCACGGTGAGGTTGACTATTACCTCACGCAGTTCTTGTCAGGTCACGGCTATTTTCAGTCGTACCTGCACTTGATGGCCAAAACGAATTCACCTGACTGCATTTACTGCCCATGCATTCCCGACGACGCGGAACACACTTTTTTCCACTGTCCACAATGGGATATGCTTTGCCAGGAGGCCATTCAACATCTTGGGGTGCTGTCGATTGAATCGATCTGTGAGACCTTGCTGAAGGGTGAGGACAACTGGGACTGCTGGTCGCACTTTGTCCGGAATGTCCTTCAAGCTTAAAAGAATGATCTAGATTGGAACATAGTCTAGATTTTATAAGAAATAAACGGCTAGACACGGCGTAAGCCCCTCGGGCGTAGGCAAACTCGGCCTAGTTCTGATGAAGTGCGACAAGTGTTCCCAGGCTAGTGTCCGAAGAGTAGAGGAGGTTTTTAGTGGGTAGTCTCTGGGCCTTAAGCCCGTTGGAGTCCCACACTACAGGCTAGCAACCTGTGTGCATAAATGCATTTTCCCACCTCTCCCTAAAAAAAAAAAAAATCCTTAAACAATGCTAAATGCTCAAAGTATGTATAATTTCACTCAATTTATCGCAGTTAGATGAATTAACGTAAGCCTTGAAAGTAACCGTCGATTTCGACGGGTTTCACCTAGTAACAAATAATAAGTCCAATTAATTGAGTAACCGAATGTAGAAGAAAACTGATAACGCGGTTGTTTGTCATCCGATTTTAACAAACAAGGTCTCATTCGATTTGGGTTTAAATTACCTATCTTAGTGATCTGAAAAACCATTTTCTTAATATTTACGGTTTTCATGAAATTTGGCATTGAATATTTTAAATAACCGCCATATTGAAACGACTTGAGATACTAAAACGAAATGTAAGCCATTTTTACTAACTAAAATACAAATTTATACCAATTTTGAAATTATATCTTGAAAAATGTCCAAGATATAAAATAATTTATAAAAATTACAAACAGACTGACAGACAGAAATCTAGTCATTTCAGACCTATAATTAAAATGTATTTTATGTTTGTCTTAGCCCAGGGAACAAGTCCACAAAATATGTCCAGACAATTCGGAACACCCTTTATAAACTATTTAATTAAATCAGTTTACAGAAAATTTTTATTCTGAACGCAGGAATACAGGTAAAATATTTTAAAACACAGCGTAATATCAGGACATTCGCAGTTGTGTCAGGTCTTAGACCGTTGCATGTAAAGTAGCTACATTACACCTTGCAGGTCTTCTCTTACACTCCCTTTGACATAACTAACTGTATTACTCTCTAATGGTGCAAATACCACTTACATAATTAATTGTCAGTAAGAGCCGTAATCATCATGCACCCCACTGATATTTAGCATGAATTATCAGATTTCAAGGTGAGATCTTACTTATAGTCAGGTTTAAATCATTGGATAATCTCTTCTTTAAGTCCCTCATTAGCATTTGTTGTTTTGAATAAATATCTATCTTTAACGATTTTTGATTATCATACTGAGCTGAAGCATAAATTATCTGATCAGGCTATATTTTAGTAATGTTGAAATTTTAGCTAACTATAGTTTGATGATATTTATTTTCCTTAAATGATTGTTTAAGTTTCTTAATCACAATATTTTATAACACTTACTTGATACGATATAAGCTATATGCTTACTTGTCTATAAGTTAAAGTCAATGTCCTCGACATCCTCTCAAACCAAATGCAATTCGATGCATTAGTTTGATTCACTATCGCTTGTCTACAGCCCTTCTCTTGACTAATGGGTATTTCTGAGTGAAGTTTACCCGACAACCTGTTACATCGGAAACCGTTTAACAGCTTAGTTTGCATCGCTTAATCGACGAAACTTTTACCCATCAATGTAATCAAATTAAAATTCATGCTTTACCTTTGATTTGAGGATAAAATTAGTTTTTTTTCAACCAATCAGTTAGTTTTTTAAAATTAAGTAGGACAAAGCCATACCATCCAAAATTTGACCAAGTTAAAAAATTTAGAATAATTAAATTAAAGTTGGTCAACGTTGGTCAAGCACAACAAAATATCAATTATATTTTTTAATGTATTAAGGTAAATAAATTTTCCTTCCGTGTTTTATAACTAATATATCCAACGAACGGGTCAAGAGGGTACGTAGGAATTCACCATGTGTTTTTCTTTATTCCTAAGTTTTAATAAATAAAAGAGGAAACAAACTTAAAGGTCGACTTTTTTACATGTCGCAAAACCCAAATTTAATGAAATTTCTCGTTGCATTTTAATTACGAAAGTCGTTGAATGTCAGGTTATAAAAAACAGGAAACAGTGTATGTAGTTACAGGATTTGCAATTAGAGGATTTACTTCATCATCCAGATATATTAATAATCATTCCATGTTTTATCACAAATATATCCAATGTACCGGTTACATGTTGTTAAATAGGAATTTACCGTGTGTTTTCTCTTTACTCCTAAATGTTAATAAAATAACGAGAAAACAAACTTTACGGATTGAATATTTGCTTGTCGATAAACCCAAGCTCAATGAAATTCGTCGTTGCAGTTCAAATATGACAGTCGTTTAATGTGTGCGTTTAGTGAAAAGAAAACACTGTAATTACAGTATTTTCAATTACAGGATTTTCGCCTTACAGTGTAAATTCCAAAATGCTACCACTTTTTATTAATACTATTTCTAAAATGTTACTTTAACAAAATTATTATTGATGTTAGTTTTATTTAGTATCCAGGTTTTCTTCAAAACCGATCAAGACGTTTATTTATAAGACCAAAATAATCGTAAAATATTTTAATCTACGATCATCTTTCACTTATATCCAGCTTAAAACAAGCACCAAAGTGTAGGTCACTGTCTCAAATGATTTTTTAACTGTTTGATTAATTTTCAAGGAAATAATAATAAACTGTAAATCAGGCATCTTAATTATCCTCCACATTACGATTCTGTTTCTGTTTATTGTTGTACTTACAATAAAATACAAAGATTACTGTTGCCGTTCTTCCCATTGTATTTCAATTACCTAATTTAACGCGAGTTTAAATAAATACTTAATGATGCATAATCAGAAGTATTTATGTAATAGTTAACCATTAAACCATTCATTTACCAGCACGGGTCTTTAACATAATGAGCTCATATTTCTATAGCTTTACTAGATGACGAAAAATCGTGATACCATTCAAGAACCTATATAACTTAAATTCTAGACATTTGTGCAATGTACTTTTAAGGTGTCCATAACAACTACAAATTTACCGGTTAACACAGATCAAGAAGGTAGCAGACTGTCACGTTTGTTATACAGTAACGGGACCCTACGTGACTGGCGTTGTAATCCACAATATAATCTTGTGTTTCTGACCTTACGATAAGCCAACTAGTGCAAGTTTCAATGTCTCATGAAAGTACGTATGTTTTAAACACGTGTAAAAAGGTAGGGACTATATAATTATAATGATTTTGATTATCTGCTACGTAAGTATCTGGAATAGTCTCGACCTCAAACTGTGGTAAATTATTAATCCTTTATGACGTTCCACTAGGTGAAAATCGACATTTTTACCATGGTTACAGAATGTACTAATTTTTTTAAACGTGTCTTCTCCCATTGCAAACGCAAAACACGAGTATAGCTGCAATAAGCATTTTATACTTATACGCCAACCCCGTACGAAGGACGGGTACTCTGCTATAATGTATATAGAGGGAAACGTTTAATTTTATGTCACCTAATTAAATTGGCCTAAATAAATTAAAGTAAGATAAAAACAATAGTCCAAACCTGAAAATACAATAATAACTTAGTTTGTGATTATTATTGCTAACCTATTTTTGCTCGTTACAACGCCAACTAAACGTGACTAAATTGTAAATAAAAATATTTAATTCAACATTATATTATTTTACGTTATGTATCTAGTAAAGTTTAAAATTTTACAGATTACTTGGTTATATAGTTATACTTAAACAGTGAATAAAAAACGTCGAGTTAATTTTATCCAGAGTAGCAATGATAGGTTGAGTTGGCTGCGTTTAGCACTTTTAACCATCAAATTGCAGCACTTACACAAGATACAGTTCACATTTTGCAGCTTCCCTAGTATCTTGTATTTAGTTCATATTTTACGGCTTTTAAGTATATTGTATACAGGGTAAATGATATAAGTGTGCCAGCTATTTTATTCGAAAGTTTTAGAATGCCAAGAGAAAGATTTAGTTTAGCTGATTCCGTACTATTAAAAGGCAGTCGAAATACATAAAATAAATGAAACTCTACTGCTACTTAAAGATTCCGTATTGTGTTCATAATTGAGATGGATGACTATTTAATTTTTGGGATTGGACTTTACCTACTTTAAGTGTTTTAACTACACTATGTTCTCGAAGAAAGGGACCTCCTCTAGTTAACGGGTTACATAAATATTTACATTTACCCTATACGTATGCCATCCTCCTTAAATCAAAATACTTAATTATAAACTTGACACTGCAATTCCACATGCAACAACAAAGTTGAAGGACCTACATTACATACATTACATTATTTGTCATGAGAGCCGAAGCCCCCTGACTGCATACCCGGTACCTATCGTGAGACTTACCCGGGCCCCATGATGTAGGCCGAAGCTTACGCATCAACCTTTAGCACATCATGGGCGGATGACTTAAGGTCATCAGGCTCGCCGGCTGCCGAAGCAGACCCTTCGGAAGGAGGGTTGCCCCTCAATCCTAACCAGGGATTCCGGCTGCTTGTTTAAGCGTCACTCCACCTGGGTTCCACTAGGTCGGGACCTAGAGGTCCATGGTAGAGCGCCCCGACGCATTTAGTGCAAGCAACACTCGGGACCTATCTAATCCCTGACAGGCAGAACCCGCCATCAATAGCCAGGAGGAAGGGGACCGTCAGCACGCTGACGGGGGGAACCCCAACCTCCCATTTACACCACTACCCGATCGAGGCCTTACCCATTGCTGGGAAACCAGAGATAACCAGAGCGATAGATCCCCAGATACCCCTGGCGGGCTCGGACCCAGCACCCGATCTACTTCGTTTGCCCGTCAGACCCAACATCACTGCCAGGCCATCAGGGTTTCCCAAAAGGAGGCAGGTATAGAAGTGGGACCCACCCGGATGAACCTATCCACCAGAGGTGGCGACACCCTTGACTCAATTGAGGTTCCGGGAAGAACCCCCCACACTCAAGATAACCATACCGTCCGTGCTCAGAGACAGGGATTGGTTTGCATAAGTGCCTACA